AGTCTATTTCTAACTTAAATTCCGTGTGTAGCTGATCGTATGCTGTCCGTCTAAATGGTACAGCAACATTTGGAGATACGAGAAGACACCGCTGCCTCTTCGTAATTTATGCTGTAACTCAGATGGAGTAAAATATGAGTTTAATAAGATGTTTTCTAACCTTCTTTAAAAAGCCAGGTATTTGCAGCAGATGATTTTAACACCTGAGTTGATAAGATAGTTTAAGCTGAAAAGAAGTTATGCAGGTCTATCGGTGTCCTAACCCAATCAACAGACAACAGTGACCGTCTCTTATAACTATGCTTAGATGACAGCTTATTCTTAGCAAGTTTACAATTCAAATGTAGGCGGAGATAATGTCTACCAAAAACAGCCGTAGATATTAATAGACCATTTGACCATCCGCCATTGATGTACAGGGTTGTTAGAAGACTGACACTTCTTTCGGAGTACAAGCTCAGACTTCGATCATACTACTGTAGATGTATGCATTTCCATAAGTTTTGAAGAATGTAGAAAAGTCACGACAAGAAGACCAATTGAATATCGGTTTGAAGGTGAAAATTTTAAGGATGCATTCAGGAAAGGATCAGTTAGATACCTGGTAAATCTTAAAGAAACATTTTAGTTAGTATGATATCGGAATATCAGTAAGTACAGAAGTTATCTCTTATACCAACTAGAATCATAGTGTTAAAGAAGACCATATTGAGTGGACAGATACTCAAAAACTCATCCTATGAGTTTTGGACGACGATGAGGATCAACGACAATGTAAATGTAAACTAGGAACCGTTCTTGTAATGACTATCACCAATGAAGAACAGTGAAATTTAAAGAGATGAAGATGTTAATGGCCATAGATTGCATCAGACAGCTATGACTATTTATCATGGGAACAGCTTGTCCGTGAAACCTTTTGAAGAAATAGAAACATTGTTCACTGCCAGTCCAAGAGATTAGGTTGATAGGGAGTGGTTAGAGTGGCTCATTTTATGGTTGATGCTCAGGTGTTATTATTTTGATTCATTCCTTCCAGCAAGTCGTTAATCCTGATTAGAAGAGGCGGATAGTGGCAGCAGCGGAATTCAGGACGCGCTTTTCTTACGAGTTGGGACTCGTCACCTGGATGTAGCTGCATCTTAGAGATGATGTTCACTCCGGGACTTGAATACAGTACCTTACACTTAAAACGCCATCACGTTGTCCACTTGGATGCTGATCATTAGCAATGGGACGAAGATTAATTCATTTGTGTAGGTTGTTAGTCACTTTGGGTAAATTATAATTAGCTCACTTTTATCCGAAGTTTGTATTGATGATGTTGTCTAGCAGGACAGTGAAATCTTCATGATTAAATCGCACAGCTCTGCAACTTCATTAGAAGTATCAAATTTATGGTAGTGTTTGGTTCTCTGAGCTGGATGTTTTGGTTGTGGAGCTTTCATTGTTCGTTTTCTGAACAACATCATCAGCACAAACTTCAGATAGAAGTGAAACATTCGAATTTCTTCACGTTTGACCTGTAGCTTGTTCTGCTAACCTCAATCTTGATTGGTTGCTGTTGTCGTTTAACCTGTCGTTGTTCGCACCTTTGCTTTGATTATACCCTCCTTTTGATCTGTTTCTTGATCCTATGTCACCTATGATTCTCCTGAATGGTTGATAAATTTGGTCAATGTCGATGAGTTTGTTGAATGCTGATTGACCTGAATACAAAGCTTCCAAAAATTCCCCTTTGTCCTCCCCCTATCCAATATTTCCACATTGCTTCAATCGAATGTGTGTCCATAACTGTCGGTGTGTATTGATATAAGCAAAGAGTTGTCGTAGCGTTTGACTGCTAATTAGTGTTCACGTAAACAAAGCTGAAGAGGCCGTCCACTTTGTTCTAAATAGTGTGTTTCACAGTCTCATCAATTTATTTTGTAGATGATAATTGGTTTTTCTTCCTTTGTCATTTTGTCCTTTGGTCTACATAGGATTGATTGAAGTGATTCTGTTGGTTTGTGTGCCACACCTATTCCAAATGGTTTCAGTAGTCTTGCTCTATGCTCCGATGTCTTTTATGTATGGTAGGATGATCCGTTTACTGGTTCCTTTACTTGATTTCGCTTCTGTTGATGATTTCGGTTGATGTTTTTTGATGAAGTTGCGTGGATTGCCGTTCTTTTGGAAGATAGTCACAAGGTGCAAACAACGACAGGTTAAAGGTCAACAGCAACCAATCAAGATTGAGGTTAGCAGAACAAGCTACAGGTCAAACGTGAAGAAATTCGAATGTTTCACTTCTATCTGAAGTTTGTGCTGATGATGTTGTTCAGAAAACGAACAATGAAAGCTCCACAACCAAAACATCCAGCTCAGAGAACCGAACACCACCACAATCATCCACCTGAGCTACAAATCTTCTCCACCATCTCAGTATCAAATTTAATTTCAAAGTTATAAATAAAACCTTTGATGTTTGACGTTGTTATCAATTAAATTAGTTTGCTCATGAAACCGTTTTCGACAGAATTTTGATTTTCCGTTACAGAAAGCTCCGTAAAAAGCGCAGTTTGGAACGCTGTTTCTGAACAAGTAGTTGTAAACCATGTGTTTGCAAATTATATAAAGTTATCTTAAAATGAATTTAACTTATGGTATCTAAAGCAATGAATCTATTTAAATTTCATTACAAATTCATGTTTAAACTATCGACATTACGCATTATCGATACATATTTTATAATTTTATGTTTCAATATTTAAGAGTAAAGTGAATAGATTAACTTTTAGGTCAGTTAACACAAATAAAAATTAATACATTTTATTACATGAACTGAATGATTTATTGGAAGGTGTTTCTTTTTAATTTAAAGGTCAATCGATAATGAAGAGTAATGCATAGGAACTGTCATGATTATTGATTGTTTCTATTTTTGTGAATCGCACTTGTATTTTCATGAGAGTGGTTTAATCTACTGGATTTTATTAACAATGGTAAATGTATACCTTTTACCGTTGTAGTGTATTATTGATTCCCTGAACGAAACCATAGGCGAGGGTAGTCTAATCTGTTACTGAATTCATTGATCACTGGGTTAGTGAATTAGTCAATAATTAGGCTGTCTCTACCCTATCGATTTCTAAAGTTCGATAATTGTGTTTTATTTTAGTTTATTCACGAGACTTTAGGGTATAGTTAAATAAAAACCGATTATTCAGAAGACAATGACTTCAAAGAATGTACTATTGCGTAAATATATGTGATAAGATAAAATAGGCATGAGAAGCATGATATTTCATTACAGTTGGGAAGTAAACAAGTTTATGCGAAAAAAATCAAACAAATACATTTTTGGTTGAATTCACATTCATAAATTCAAAGTAACATACGAACAATTAACTGAACACTATTGACAGAGATGAATGATGGCTATCATTGGAACTCTGAACTCCAGTTTCGTCTCTTTGCGACTCATCAAATCAATGTGCCTGCTTCGCATCGTTTGCTTCAAACGCCATCGTGTAATACACTTAGCTGTTGAGTCCATATAGCCATTGGTTTGTACAGTGGAGTGACGTTTAATTCATTTGTATTGGTTATTCAACTATTTAACTGCAGTCCTCAACATTATTGAGGAGATTTAAACAACCAATACAAATGAAGCATACTCAACACTTTCGCCTTATTTTTTGGTTTAAAAGTTTAAGTTAAAATATCTATCCAATGAGAATTGAAGACAATTCGGCGAAAACACTTTACTTTCTGCGATGTCTTCCATCTAAATTAGATCTCAGGTGAAAAAGTAACCCATAAATTCGTGAAGAAATTTTCTGAGAGTAATTTATTAAAAAAATGTGACTTCTTGTGATAGTGAGACTTGTTTAAACAAAAGCATTTTCTTTTTCGGTGGTCTACCTGGTGATAATCAATTTCATTTTATCCAACTGTTCTGCATAAAATCATAGCACAGAACATATTTTTCAATACTATGATAGTGTAGTTTGGTTGCAATGCACATACATATTTCTAAATAAATACATACGCCCGACAACAATATCGCATTGATCAGCCACGTATAACATTTAAGAAAGTGTACAGAAAAATGTATGACCTCAGTAGGTAACACTGAATGCCTACCTATTAGCAAGTCAACTAACTTCATTATAAGTACACAGAATACAAACAGATGTTTGAAGAAAAGTAAGTTTTCATGCTATAGCATTTTCGTGCGCCTACAGAACAAATATAAACGTCTAACGTTAAGCTGCTGCTTTACACTATGCATCTTTAAGTAGAACTTTGTTAAATTGCGAAGTAAACCGTTTGCTATTTCATGTTATTTATTAAATATATGCGCCATAATCATTGGTATCATTACTTACAATGCCTTGTGACCTAATATACTACATATTGGTTGTTTGTTAGTAATTTTTCCGGTTCATTAACAACTATCTGAGGTTTGTACTCACCTCTTAGTCAAGTTTTAAGTGTATAAAATCATAAATTCCTTTCAGATTATATCACTGTTATCTGTCGGTTGTTTTGAAACTAAACAAAAGTTGAGTAGTGTTTCTAACTTTCAAGGCTATTGTTTAAATATCAAATACCTAAAATAAGCATTCATTTTAATGATTGTTAAAACAAGTTGATTTGATCTTCTGTTAAAAAAAAACAAAAACAAACAGAGCATCAAAGATAATTAGTCTATGAACAATAAACTACTACTATCAGCAACAATATACGAAAAAAAAAACAATTTAGGAGGCCAATATAGTTTCTGATTATAACGAATTCCTATCGTTTCTTTAGTTGCTTCCAAATGTCACGAGACCTGTTTTACTAGTTTTTTTTTTTTTTTCTTGAATAGTATTAGCATTCTTTTGAATTGAAACAGTGAAATTAACCAATAAGAATTCTTTGTGTCATTCACCACAACGCTTTAATCAACTAATTTGAAAATAAATTGTCTACCAATTGCAAATCACGAAGTCCATTTAATATCAGGACACACAAAGAATGCGGATGAAGCACACACCAGTAAATTATATATAAAAGGATATTATTAATTAAGTGAAAGTAATTCATTAGAAAAAAAAAGAACACGTTTTCACAAATTACATTGAACTTGTTGATTAGACAATGCGTGAAATTGTTCATCTTCAAGTTGGACAGTGCGGTAATCAAATTGGATCTAAGGTAAGTGTTATCTTTTTTTTTTTGTGGTTAATTATTAAAGATAGACCATATTGCTTCACTTTATGCACTTATACACAAATTTAAATTTATATGGATCTTTTTCGAAGTGGTTAAATCTGTTGAGTTATTTGACAGCAATGATTTTTATCATACTGAATAGATATATGTGCTGTGACGGACTCTCAAAAGCTAGAAAAGTTTTTCTCAGCTGAAAATGAACCGAATACTGACAACAAACAATTTTGTGCATATTTGTGCATGTTTCAATGTCCCTAAATCTACAGAGGACTTAGCAACCAAAGAGTAGCACCTGGCCTCACATAGTGTAGCCCTAAATAGATAAATATGGCTAGAGAAAACCTGTGCTTATGACTTATTTATTAATTCGAAATAAATGGTTCAATCATTGAACACAGATTCACTTAATTTATCATTATACTATCCCACTTGTTTTTAGCACGAATGCAAAATATACTAACGATTATTTTGAATCAAAATAACTGTATCATATCCCCATATCCAATTTTACTTTATCAGTATGATGAATGCATAGTGAATTGAACCAAGATTTAAAATATCAGGAAAAACATCATATTTTTAAAATAAATGTTCATTGTTTATGCAAATTATTATAGTGCTTACTATTTCCAGTTTTGGGAAGTAATTTCTGATGAACATGGAATCGATCCAACTGGAGTATATCGTGGTGATTCAGATCTCCAGCTGGAACGAATTAATGTTTACTACAACGAAGCGACGGGAGGAAAATATGTCCCACGGGCGATATTAGTTGATTTAGAGCCAGGAACAATGGACAGTGTTCGGGCAGGTCCTTTTGGTCAACTCTTTCGTCCAGATAACTTTGTATTTGGACAAAGTGGTGCAGGAAATAACTGGGCTAAAGGTCATTATACAGAAGGTGCTGAACTTGTGGACTCAGTATTAGATGTGATGCGTAAGGAAGCAGAGAACACGGATTCCCTTCAAGGTTTTCAATTAACTCATTCACTTGGTGGTGGGACTGGTTCAGGATTGGGAACACTGTTGATTTCGAAAATTCGTGAAGAGTATCCTGACCGAATAATGAACACATTTTCAGTTGTTCCATCTCCTAAGGTAGATGATTAAGTCATTTTAGTATATTAGAGTTAAATGCTTTTTTTTTAAAATCTTCGTTTATTTTTCTTAACTTCTTATACAGAATGGATTCAAATTGACAATGGCAATGCCACTGACTCTAATCTACGAGGACCATAGAAATATTCAATCAGGTTACCTGTATACCAACAGACAGACCTAGTCCCGAATATCAACAATCTAAAAAATTAAGACTTAAAATGCTGGTTTATTTACCATAGAAATAATATTCGAGAAATTATGTAAAATGTTCATACTTGATAGGTTGAAGTATCCTCAATAGTGAATATAAAATACAAACTTGGATCTCTGTAGCTTATTTATCAATAAAAAATCTCTATTTCTTCACCATAAATGCGAAAAGTTTTAAATTTACAAGCCTTATTTCTAAAAAAAAGTCTGATATAACTGATTATTCATATTATCTGACCAACATTCAGTTTAGTTGAGTGACAACAAATCAAAACAAAATTGCTAATGTCATCAAAAATAGTCAATAAATGGATGATAAATTATTTTAATTGGGTACCGAATTTGGATAAACTGTATTTCAGTGATGCTTATCATGTTTATCTGAGTATATTACTACTAGTGCCATTTATCTTCATCAAAATAATTAGTAACTCATGGACTATTTAATAATTACCTAGTATAACTTTCTTTGGTAGCGTACTTCAACCAAACACATTAGTAATGAGTTTTACGTCCAAGATTTTTAACGAGTTGAATCCAGGGAATGATACTTATTCCATCATAGCAATGTTGTTAGATGAAGTTAGCTGAAAACTCAGATAGTTAGTCTTCAGAACTTATTCTAGCTAACAGAAAGTAAATATTATTAATCAAAGATCATTTTTATGATTTCGTAACAAAATAAAATATTTTGTCTGTTTTTCCAGGTGTCCGACACAGTTGTTGAACCGTACAATGCTACACTCTCTGTACATCAACTCGTTGAGAATACTGATGAAACTTTCTGCATTGACAATGAGGCACTCTATGACATATGCTTCAGAACGCTCAAGTTAACTAACCCAACTTACGGAGATCTGAATCACTTGGTCAGTGCAACCATGTCCGGAGTAACCACCTGCCTCAGATTTCCTGGCCAACTGAATGCTGACTTGCGAAAACTGGCAGTAAACATGGTTCCATTCCCTCGACTACATTTCTTCATGCCAGGATTCGCTCCATTGACAAGTCGAGGTAGCCAACAATATCGCTCACTAACTGTACCTGAACTAACACAACAGATGTTCGATGCTAAGAATATGATGGCTGCTTGTGATCCCCGTCATGGACGTTATTTGACAGTGGCTGCCATCTTCCGTGGTCGTATGTCGATGAAGGAGGTGGATGAGCAGATGTTGAATGTGCAGAATAAGAATTCAAGTTACTTTGTCGAGTGGATTCCGAATAATGTGAAGACAGCAGTATGTGACATTCCTCCTCGTGGTTTGAAGATGTCAGTGACCTTTATTGGTAACAGTACGGCTATTCAAGAGTTGTTTAAGCGTGTTTCTGAGCAGTTTACTGCAATGTTCCGTCGTAAGGCGTTTTTACATTGGTACACAGGTGAAGGGATGGATGAGATGGAATTCACTGAGGCTGAGTCGAATATGAATGATTTGGTAAGTGAGTATCAGCAATATCAAGATGCAACAGTTGATGATGGAGAATTTGAGTAGGACACCTAATCATATAAGTTTCCCTGGACTGATGCGTCATTCGGATATGTGATAATGAGAAGCAATGACAATTCATTTGAATTTATTTTATCGAGTTGCACTACTTATTAGTAGCTAGATTTTTTTATTTAAATTATGTAACTTTCCAAAAAAGTGGATGTCGAGGTTTTCATTTGATGACCAACCAATAAAGCTATTTATTTTACACTTGTTATCATTCTGCTTTTCGTTATTAGTGAAATAACATGTCGCCGTATGTATCACACTGATCTGTCCAGAAGGTAGTTCTAGTTACGTGGTCAGTTTTTGAATTACATTCCTGTCTTTGTCTTTGACAAGTAAGAGTTTTAGCAAGCAATACTACAAATTAAATTAAAATATCTTTTATACCCTAAATTAGTGATGTTACTTTAACAGTAATCAATAATAGGCTCGATGCACGTTAATTTAAACGAGTGGATTACAACCAAATATTAGGTTGGCATCGTTCTCTCTTCGTAGTTTTTTTAGGTTCTAGGTCTGATGTCACGTGGCATCTTGCATGTACAGTATACTCTATTACTCCCTGATTTTCTACTAGTTCTTAGGCAAATATCACTCGTTGTTAAAAACTAACTTCAGAATAAAGCAAACCTCCATAAATACGTAACAGAATAAATGGATGACTAGTAGACATAATGTAATAATTTAACGGAAGCTGTTCCACTGATAAGTCTTTAAAATCCCGACATTTATGATAAGGTTGATTTTACAGACTAAGTATGGTTAGTTCGAGTTGAAAACAGTGTGAAACTTTGATCTTCAAATGATTACGTCTGTAGAGCTCAGTAGGTCATCAGAATCTAAGAATTTCAAATCACGACAGAAATAAATATCTATAGAAGTGTTGAGAAGAACTGATAAAATTTAAGACTATTCTAAAGGCTGCCCTTTGACCTACAGTAAACATACCATCGAAGGGGAGAATAAAACGATAATTTTATTGATTTCTATCTAGTCTGGGATTGTATCGGAATCTCAGAATTTCATAACAACCGCTTGAACATGTAGGTATTGTTTAAAACAAATCAACAGGATCCCATACCTTTGTAGTCACTGATATAATATAGTATTTGTTGTAATACAACCAATTATGGACTTTTCGCACTTTTCTAATAAGCACTCTGACACATTACTGTAGCCTACTTACATTTCCCCAGATAAAAGTCCGAGTATAACATTTTAATTTTACTACAGATAGTGTGGATAATCTTTTTAATCATAAAATAGTTATCTAGTATGCCATACATTTTTGTGATGAAGATTATTGACATAAAGTGATTATATAGCCTCTATTTTATGATCATCATATTGTTAGATCCGAACGAAGATAAAATTTATAGTAACTTAAAGAATGAACATGTAGATTAGTAATAGATATAGTTTTATCATATAATTATTCAGTAACTATATTATAAGGTTTATATAATTCTTTTATTACAATACTTCCATTAAGCCATAAACTATTTTCATGCTATTTACCATTCCTATTTTGTTATTAGATTTTTATCATTAGTCTATCCTACTCATAGCCACTTTTGGCTTATTCATGTATAATTTTTATGTGTGGTACAGTCTGATTTTGATTGTACATAAATCAATGTCTGTAGTATAATAACAATCTTGATCGTGGGCTAGTGATCGTTGGTCTTCTATACCTTCTCCACATTCAGGGCTAGGGGTTTTGGGCCAAACCTTCAGGCAAAAAGTATCAGTGTCCTATCTTTTTGGCGTATTGGTTACTAAAAGGTTGTTTATGCGAACTGGTTACCTTTAGAACATAACAAAATTGGCAACGGTAAGTTTGAAAAAAACAAAGCAATGAAAAATATTCGACCATGAGTAACACTTATTTTGGAAGTAAATAATAATTTATTAAATGAGAGAATACAAGTAACTATTGTGGAGTTTATTTTATAAGCTTATGACTGAAACAATGAATCAATCATTGGTAGACCACTATTAGAAACCCAGAAGCACTAGATGGCCGTTTCATACTAGTATGGGATTCTTCAGCAGTGTGCTCGCTCGCGGTAACTAAAACTAGGACCTCTGGTCTTGCGCGCGAAATCCTAACCCTTAGACCACTGAGCAGGCACCAAGAGGTGCCGATGTCTAACTCTGATCACTCTAAGACCCTGAGTTTGACTCTTGCGAGTAGGGGCCGTGGATGCACATTGCTGAAGAGTTACATTCAAGGATGAAACGACCCTTCAGTGTTTACAGGTTTCTAATGATGCTCCAACAATGGTTGATTTATGATTTCAATGATAAACACCAATCACCATAACTCTATGATAAAAAATAAGCTTATCAGTTTGAGTCATGTCTATTATGGGGTTTGAATTCTGCAGCAGACGTCATAAATTGACAATTTAGACGACCGTTGAAAATCAAGTATCGCTGGACAGGTCTTTCGTACATATATTACATTTTGCAACAGTCCTCATCCGCCAACCTTTACCAGTTATCAAACCCAAGACCTTTAGGCCTAGAAGCCACGTTTGAGTACTATTCGCATTATTAATGGGTTAAGTTTTTTTATGATTGTTGATTTTATTTATTGAAGTGCGATAGACAGCCCTTTTGTTTCGATAAACTACTTCAAAGAACTGACAATAATTCTAAATGGTATTTTAGCATGTTAATTCCATATGTTATGAATAAATAAATAATACGCCCTCAATATTTATTAATTACAACTCTAGACAAAATATGAATAGCAAAGGTGATTAGGTCAATAACAATATTTACGTCAATCAGAAGATCCACCATACCGCGCTTTTAAAATATTAATCGAGAAACAATCATAGGAGAAATGTGAATGTAAACGAATTTATTGATTTCTATTTTTTTTGCTTGAACTGAATCTTTAATGTCATATAATGATTGAAAATACCATAATCACTCACGAATGAGATTATTGATACGATAAGAATGATGAGTCATTGTTGTGGATGTGACAGGGTGTACTGGTGCACAGGGAAGGTCAGTATTGTCTTGTGTAAACGAACAATCATTTAATTACTTGTTAAGAAAGTCAATAAATACATTAAGTCATATGATTGTTTAAGTTCAACAAGCTCGTGTATGATTTAAATGAAATGGTGGTAGATTATGACGAATTTAAAAATAAATATATTCCACATCATGAGTTCTCCAACTGGGCAGCTAATCACTAAGCAGTTTCACATGGTCAGGATCTTTCTAATCAACTACGTCTCGAAGGAGTTAAGTGGTAAATCAAATCAGTCTTAGGTTGGTATCAGTTAAGGCAAACGGTTCATTTAGAGTTTCAATACATTTTGTGATAAAAAAAAACGTAACTTGTATGGTTAGTTTCATTGGAATTATTCACCGGATAATAACTGGCTAGATGTGAAAACATTTCGTTATGATTTACTTTTGAAAAGAATAATTAGTCAAGTAAACGTAACACAGTGCAAATGGTATCACTTTGTGTTTACATTAAACGTTCTCCAGTAACTATGATTTTTGATAAAATATATATTGCAAGGTCAACAGCGGTCAATAGTTTTATCTGATCAATAAAATATTTCGTTACAAGTACATTCAATTGACCAATCTTGGAATCTTACCCAACCTAACAAAAATAAAGAAGTGATAATTTTATATTTAATTGTTAATTTTTGCAACCTAGTCCACACTTCAAAACTTGTTCAACAATGATTACCTCAAGTCAGTTGACTCAGATTCATATTCATTAATTATTATTTGACATTCATTAAAAGGTGCTGTAGAAATCAATTTGTGATGATTGCATAAGTGATTGTAATGAAAATTTTGCGATACATTTACAGACCTCCCAATTGATGTCGACCTAACAACAACCAAGGAGATTAGCGTGGCCAAGATACAAAACAACAATGCTGAAGTAACAGAACCAGACAATACACCAACTGAGATATTGAAAGCAGACTCAGCAGTAAATGTGAAGACACTACACTCTTTCTTCTGCAAGATTTTGGAGGAAGAACGAATACAAACAGACTGGAAAGAAGGACATCTCATCAAAATACCAAAGAAAGGGAATCTCAACAAGAGTGAGAACTACTCAGGTGGATAAGTCATATTGCGGAAACCTCCCAACTGTAGTACGAGTCACATAACCGTCGATGAGGCGTTTCACTCATCAATGATGCACCTACGATTATTCAACTCAAATTATCAAATAGCTCAAGTCCTCTTGAAGGTGACTAATCAGGTGAATGAACTTATCTAGATAATTTGTGGAGTACTACTATTTCTAAGGACCTCAAACGAACAACTTGATTATTAACTGAGTTCCATTTGATAGACAAATACTCTCAAATGATGTGACTTACAAGCACCGACACAAAATAACAATAAACGGGCTACAACTTACAAGGGACTCTTATCATATCTATCAATTGCGTGGTATTTGAATAAATATATGTTGAACTTAGGGGTTAGTGAAAACACAGACGCATAAAACCATGTTCACTTGATAAAACTCGAATAGAGTGAAACATTTTCACTGCTACCTACCGTCAAATACAATATGTGACTCACTACTTAGTAAAATTGTTATCTTTACATAAGAAAGAGAAGACTTGGATATAGATATTTGAATTTGAATTCAGCAACTCAAAAATTCTAAGTAAAGTCGTTCGATCTTTTCTTCTCTCTACGTTTTCTGCTACTTTCGCTTCAATGAAACAACCAAACACCAGGTGGAAAAAATACGAAATAAAGCAATTGTAGTCAAAATCTCAATTCATATATTTATACACACATATATTCACTTAAGAAAATGTTGTCATGGCTTTGAATAGAAAATTACCAGTTTTGAATTAGATTACAACAATGCAAATAATAGCATAACATGATCAGTACCAGTAAAGTGGTGAACAAATAACCTTGAGAAAACAGTTTTCTCTTCTCGCCCAATGCTTTGTTAACTAATTTGAATTATTCAATAGTAAATTGCTTCATAATCTTAATTATTTTAAAATAATGTGTGAATCACATTAACCTTCTGATTCCTAGTACTGTGATACAGCCTGTGAATACTGTAAAAATGTTTCACCTGTGTGGCTAATAGTATTTGTTTACACATTTGAAATCATCAATCAATCATTGTTAGACCACCATCAGAAACCCGGAAGCACTG